ATCAATTACCATGCATCAAGTATTGATGGCGAATATGTTGTCAGAGTTGCCTCCCTTACACCTGGAGCCACGCGAAGTAGAATGAGTGAGTGAGTGAGTTTAGTTTTACGCCGCACTCAGCAATATTCCAGCTATTTGGCGGCGGTCTGTAAATAATCGAGTCTGGACCAGACAATCCAGTGATCAACAGCATGAGCATCGATCCGCGCAATTGGGAACCGATGGCATGTGTCAACCAAGCCAGCGAGCCTGACCACCCGATCCCGTTAGTCGCCTCTTACAACAAGCATGGGTTACTGAAGGTTCATTCTAACCCGGACCTTCACGGGTCGGGAGGTAGAATGACATGAAGTGATAATATAGTTATCGATACGAAAATAGTTGTGGTCGCTACGTTTAATAATTTAATCCTACTGGGCTTTCCGCCGCTTTTAGCAATATTTCATAAAGTCAGGGGACACAGAAATGGGCTTCACAAAATATACCCATGTCGGCAATCGAACCCCGGTTTTCTGCGCGACGAGAACCACTGGGCTACCCCACCGCCCCTGACGTGGACTAGACAGGACGAGTAACTGGTAGCCTGCTGGTTAAGTGCTTCTCCCCTACGCTGACTACATGGTCAGACCTGGGTTCGATTCCACACCCTGTCGGAATGAATGAACCATATTCGTAGATGCATCCGTTGTGGGTTAGCTGGTGTCGAGACAACCGACATGCTGCTGGAATATTGCGGAGTTTGACTGCGGCGTAAAACAACATGCAAACAACCTAAGTCGATCAAAACACTTGAGTAATAACATCAGTGTGCAACATTCCAGTCTTCGTAACGAATTGGGGCGGTGGGGTAGCCTAATGGTTAAAGCGTTGGCCAATCACATGGGTACAATGTGTGAAGCCCATTTCTGGTGTCCCCCGCCGTGATGTTCCTGGAATATTGCTAAAAGCGGCGTAAAACCAAACTCAGTCAGTCAGTCGTGACGAATTAATGTTCAACTTGTCAGATTGCACATCAGTTACCCAGATCACTGTGACCTGTGATTGAAGGTACTCTAACTGCGTGTTTGTGCATTACTTCCGCTGTTTAAATGTCCGTCCGTGTCACAAATGACACATACATTTAGCCTGAGAATGTATTCAGTCACATAGACGTGTAACACGACCCTCTCTAACACGTTCAGGCTGCCAAGTGAGTTGACGAGGGTACGTGGTATTGTTGTGGGACAATAGCTTCGCAGAGGCCCACTTTGTGTATGTACGAAGTCTTATGAGGATTCGCATTGTCTCCCACAATGTATGGACCAGATTTATGTATGCATTAAACACGGGCGGCGTAATGTAGCTCGTTTGTTGAAACCACGTGGTGTAACGTATTTCATTTGCGGGAAGCACTTGGTGTAATGTATTTCATGTAAGCCTAATGCTTGATTTCCACTCAGTGTCAGTTTTTGATGCCAAGTGTCGAGGTGTGGGTGAGTTTTCGTATTAATTTGTTTTCTAGAAACCTTCGAATATAATTTATTTCAGTTTCATATTCACATCATGGTTGAGAGTATTCTTGTATGTATGACTGATGTTTGAGAAAGAGTGAGTGAGTGAATATGGTTTTACGCCGCTTTTAGCAATGTTCCAGCAATATCACGGCGGGGACACCAGAAATGGGCTTCACACAGTGTGCTCATGTTGGGAATCGAACCGGGGTCTTCGGCGTGACGAGCGAACGCTTTAGCCACTAGGCTACCCCAGCGCCCCTGTTTGAGAAAAAAGCGAAGTGGTTGAATGACCATTTTTGTCAAACATGCCAGCAAAACGTCTATTAAAAAGCTAAAAGTATATAGTGGCTGTGTAAGGTGTAGAACATTTTACAAATTCACGTGGAACTGTTAACAGATTTTCAGCATATTCTCCCAATATTAGCCTGTTGTTATATAAATTATACAGTACCTGGGTTTATAATGTCATACTATTATAAATAGTAACAGTAGGTAATAGCACACCATAAAGGAGTTGAGACAGAGGTCAGAATACAAATGGAATTCAAATCATAATATTTGCCCAAAATTCTAAACGTTTCTGTATTGAGTTTAGTTATGCACCGGCTTTAGCAATATTCCAGGAATATCACGGCGGGGGACACCAAAATGGGTTTCACACATCGTACCCATGTTTGGAATCGAACCCGGGGTTTCGGCGTGACGAGCGAACGCTTTAACCACTGGGCTACCCACCGCCCCTAGAACTGTCTGTTGGTAATGGCAGTATTTCTTAATGAATGGTCAGTGTCCTTGTAGTCCTGTCTTGCCAACTAATGGTTATAGCTTGTCGTGCTGACGATCCCGGTTTGATTCCTGAAACGTACAAGGCATGAAGCCCTATCCTGGCCTATCCCGCCTTAGTTTCACTGCTATAATGCTAAAGGAGGAATGAAAATATATACATTAGAATCCAAATTTATCATTACAAGTTGCTCGAGGAATGCGGTTACTATATGTCTTCTCAAGACAGCATTATAACACTGCATGTATAATATACTCCTCACAAAAAATTAAGCAACACGTATTTTCAGTGTAATATCTTTATCAATCTCGATAGCGATTTTCGTCGACATGTTACTGAAAGGTAAATCTTCAAAGAATACATAGCATTTAGTGACTGTCAAATTGATATATGTGATAACATTGACAACACCCCCCTAACACAACCACCCTCAGAAACAACATGCAAAATGTGTGGTATGAATGTGCTCCACTCTTCACACATGCACCCTGATCGGTGTAAACCTACCTGTAATCATTCCTCTGGTACAACAGCGGGTCCTAACTTCATTATTATGGATGATAATGACCGAGAAAGAGCTGTTAACGATGTTATTTAGATCAACAACATTACACATATGGACTGGCCTGCAAGGTCACTTGATCTTAATCCCATTGAACATGCTTGGGACATTATTGGAAGTCGTGTTTACCGTCTCCATGTTCACCCCCAGTCTCTGGATGACCCTGAGCAGGCGTTACAAAGAGAATGGCAGAACATTCCACAACAGCAACTTTAAAGGCTCATTTGGTCAATGCAAAGAATTGTAGAAGCTTGCATTTGTGCTCATGGTGGTCAAAATTCAATGCATCCTTGATAAAAATGATGTCCGATGCTATTCCCAATTTTTGACTTATACCATACGTTCCAAAATTATTTCAGGTGGACAAATGACTAGACTTTGCATATGTTTATGACGGGTGCCATCGGCGGGACAAGATACCCTCACCTTTCGCGAACACCTGGTATCTTCACTATTTCATAGTGATTCATAAACACATGCTCTGTCATCGTATCGCATGGTGACAATCACTGGGTTGTCTGGTTCAAACCCAATTTGTTTACAAACAACATCATACAGCTGTAATACTTCTGAAAGAAATATATGCTCATGATATAGTCACAATTGTATAATCGACTCTGCTTTTGGCAGAGATTTCTTATGAATGTGGAAAGTGTTTTGTCGCTTCTATGTATCTGGTTAAACATAAACAGACGTTTGTCAAATAGTACTGATTTGTAAATAATTGTAGCCCACAAATACTAATATCTTCCCGATAGCAATCATGTCATTGATTACTCTGTCTAAGACAAATAAAATGTAATCTGGCTCTCTGACATGTTTCATTCAAGTCATCGTATTCCAATTGCGTAGATCGATGTTCGTGACATCAGTCATTGGATTGTCGCGTCCAGAGTCGATTATTTACAAACTGCCGCCACATGGCTGAAATATTACTGGCTAAACAACAAAGGAAGGATTGTGGACGAGCGTTCTTTGTGAGTGTCATATATGTTCTCTGTTGTCACAACAAAAGTTAGAACATCCATATTGTCTATGTGTTTCTCATCTCCAACCTCAGCCAATAAGAGAAAGGGCGGGTGAACAAAATAAACAAGAATTATGAAAAAAAAAAATTTTCACCACCAATTTTCGCTAAATTTATGATTTTCTACAATTTACATCACTTGGAAATACTCTTCAGAATAATTTATGAAGATCGACTGACTGACTGACTGAGTTTGGTTTTACGCCGCTTTTAGCAATATTCCAGCAACATCACGGCGGGGGGACACTAGAAATGGGCTTCACACATTGTACCCATGTGGGGATTCGAACCCGGGTCTTCGGCGTGACGAGCCAACGCTTTAACCACTAGGCTACCCCACCGCCCCTATGAAGATCGAGACGCCTTGCTTTGAAAACATGACGTCAAAAGTTGGCGAAGAAAGACCAAGGTGACGTGGGTTTTATTATTATCATGTTTATGATTGGGCATACGTAAGTGTAATTTTATATCTAAACAGATTATAAATTTCAACATTAGCATAGTTTAGGATTAGCCGGGGACGAGAAACATTGAAAAATATACGGACAGCCTTAAAATCAAAGGAAGTGGATTAACGGTAACGTGTCGCAAGACAGAATGCCTTGGGCCATCTGACCTCCCGTGCCACTCAAACTTCCATTCGCGTTAATGTAACAACAGTCCTTAATCCAAACACCCAGAAAGCTACAGCCGGACCTATTAGATATTATTAGAAAATATGTTATCTCCTTTATGATGCAAATATTTTAGAAAAACGGATCGATTTTCTTCATAATAACTTCATGAAGTACAACTCGTTAATACTGTTAACCGAACACAAATACCTTACTTAAACAGAAATCTAAAACTGAATTATGTTTTCTCATTAATCAGTCTTTCTTTCGCCAGGTAACGTTAGATCTTAATTTGATTGTTGACATATTCTCAATCACTGATCAGGCCATACTGCAGTTATTATCAATCAGTCGATAAATCAATTACACTTCTCCAGGCACTGGGACGGGTTTGTAACAATGTGCTACTCCTTCTCTCAACGGTCGCACAGCGCAACAGGATTTATACCCTACATGAGTGTTCGCGAGGGTCGGACGAGAGCGTTGTTTGACGTCCCAGGCCACGGTTGAGGGTTAGGTAGAGCATTCTTACGTTTAGCGGGGTTGCAAGAAAGTAATTCTTGTGACATAGGATTCAAAGTGAATTTGAATGTCATTGTTTTAATTTATGGTTATTTTTAAAACATGAGTTATGGGTTTCTTAAAGTAAGGAATTATGCAACGGGACAATGATAGATTGTTGTCAGATTTCATTGGATAAGGCTGTTCATGATAGGAATTGATAGGGGGCAGGTTGTATGCAGGTTATTGTGTGGTGGTTTCGATTGGCGGAGTACAGACAGAGTAACGGGGATGTTTACTTCAGCAGTCGTAGATGATGAGGTAGAACGATGTAGTGTTTCTCTATGACAGGGATGTGAGAAGTTTGAGAATACAAGACACGCTCAGGTAGGTGCTGTTTGTGTACATTGTTGACTTCGTATTGTTTGATTGTTCGTATTTTAATATTCCAGCTATATCCCGACCTGTAGATAATCGAGTCTGAACAAAACTGAAAAAAACAAAACAGTGGCTGATATTATGAACAGCGTCCATTGACGTCGGTACGCATTGACTGCTGGATGCGTGTCATCCTACCGATGACATCGTACTGGTCACACGCATTCAGCATGCCATCGATCCTGATCCCCGATCCAGTTAGCTGCCTTTTACAACAAACGTAGAATACTTTATAAAACCTATACTAACCTGCACGGATCCCCACGGAATCACTGTAGAACTTCTTACCTAATGAAATATCTGTACCGTAATCCTTGAAATAACACACGCCTTGAATAAATGCAGTTGAGAAAAGAACCCTTCTAAAATAGCAGAACGTGTGCCTGAAATATGGGCAGAGTCTTCCGAAATAAACACCGGTCGTTTATTCAAGAATTTGCGCAGTACTTTGTGCTACTCTTTTGATTAATGTGTATATTGGTTATTATTGTTCACTGTTGCGATCGTTTGGAAGTCAGTGTGAAGTGTATTATAAACATAACAACCGCCTAAATATTGGATATTTTGTTTAAAGAAGATAAATTAATTGCAAACGATTTCGTAGCATTTCATGGCTAAAGGAACCCTTTTGTATTTGTTCAGCTATAAACGTCAGTACGCTTGATTCGTTCTTAAATAAACCGTTGGTTCCATACAAACTGATATTGACATACATTGTATTTCATTGCTCTAGAAACTTGTGATTTAACTGACCATGACTTATTGTCTCAGTATTATACCAAGCATTTAGATGAATATCCTTAGCTGACGAATCCACAGTGGAACTATTTGAGCAAAACCATTACGATCACGATATTTCACAAATAGAACATGCATCCCAATCTGGAAACCTTAAGATGAAAGCGAACAATGTTAGAATGTTCTTCACCGCACTGGCACGACTGGTGTTCTCATGTCATGTGTCTGTTTTGATGTCCTCTGGAAGTCAGCATGCTAAAAACATTATAAGTCCATAGGGTATATATTCCTTCTAAAATCCATAATGATAGGAACTCCAAATGCAGAGCCAACTGGACGATTCTCATTCTGTATTTCATTCCTGCTCAATCAACCCCGTAGGCATCCATGTTATTATTCGTCCTCACCAACCTACTCTGGTAGTCGACCGGGTAGATATAACCGGAATTCTGCTAAAATCGGCGTCAAACTATATTATTAATATCAAACGAGTAATATAATAAACAGGCTATATTTCATTAGTAATTGGGTTCACTGTATCTTGCTATGTAAGTAAAGAAACGTTATTCAATTTTGAAAAGCATTTCCCTCTAGTGGCACTGGTAAACGTACATCGCATCTGCGCGAATCCTATGCAATGAACTTTTCCCCCACCTGGTGTAGTGTTCCCTCTAACGGCGTGAGGGGTGGATGAGAAAATACTTCACTGCACGGTATATGGCATGCCAGCTGGTCACGCGTCAACAACGCGTCTCCAGATCTTATAGATTTTCAGATCTTATCTGTAGATCACAAAGGCGCTCAGATTATCAAAGGGTTGATAGATAACGATCGATGTACGCCTAAAGATAATATTACATTACGTATGTCGATGTATACTTTAATATTTTTCATTGTTCCAGTCAGTTTGAGGTTCGATCTCCTGTTCGTGTTGTTTACATATATACTGATGTGCAAATAAAACTTCAGACTTTTATAGTTTGTTCGAATCCTGATGTGTTTTTAAATGTATCCTGTCTGAAATGTGTTCAGGGTTACCTAGCCAACTACAATTTTCTGTCATGGCTTTGCCACGGCTTGGGATATTCCTTGCCTTATTTGGACCCCACCTGAAAAAGTCTTTGAATGAAAACAAATCGATATTGTAGCGATATAAGCGGTTTCATCTTAACCAAAGAGAACCTACAGTTCAAAATACACATTAAATGGCTACCGATGCGTGACAATGCGGCTGTCGTGCTTGTTTGGAGAAGTAGTGCGAAAATATGTACAACTTGCTCGAATGCTTGAAGTGTTACTTGATGGTGTTCACATGTGACTTATGGAGTTACTGTTAAAAACACAACAAAGAGCCTAAACGGCAACAATAGCGCGAAATGTTCGCTTTCGGGCCACATGTTTTCTGAATATACTACACCGTGTCCACTGTTGCCTACGACCCAGGACCTAATATAACAACTTAGAAAACTATGTTTTGATATATTCAAATGTCTTCTGATGGCTAATCTTGATGACAGCAGAGAGAAGATTGCTCTACGGATTTACATAGGAGAAACCAGCGGCAAAACCTTGTCCATAATCATAAGAAATCTGAAGCGAAACCCGTTGTACGATTCCGACTATATTATAAGCATTTGTTCATGACTTACTCTTAGTGCCATGGTCCCTAGTATGGTGATCAAACCTTCAGTTGTTGGTAATCTATAGCCTGTTTTTATATTGTCTTGTCATTTCTAGTTAAAATATTTTAGATTCTATTACTGGTTTTAAATTTATTTCTGTGATAGTCTAGTTGCTTTACTGTCCTTTGCAGACAAGTAAGTATATTAGCTAACTTTGTTTTTATTCATTTATATATGTACAACTTTCTTAGTCACGATATGGCTGAAATACTGCCGATGTGTCTTTAAATTTTAACTCACTCACTGACTTAATTAGTGATGATACCAAGAACATTATTATTATGTTTCGATGATGTTAAGGAAACAAAGGGCAAAGTTAAGCTGAATCTGAGATTCGAACCTATGATTCCGGCGCACCCATGGCACCCATGGCAAGTTGCGGCGCTTTATATGACATTGCCACCAGTGCCTCCTACTGGGAAATTATAGATTGACATGGATGTTTTCCCAGTTATATGAAATACGCACGGACAGATCTCGTGTCAGAACCACTAAAACCCTATTGCAATATTAACATGTAATACATGTGAATAATTAGGAATGCATGAGATTGCTGTTATATCGATTTCAAGCAATATGTCCCCAAGATAGTATGTACAGATTTCATAACTGGGTCAAATTGAACCGACGAGATAACATTGTTTTTGTAGTATGATTTCGAAATCAATATCAGTCCCCCACCTCCCCCGTCCCTAATCTGACTCCCCCAATTATGTATCTTATTGGGACGCCCTGTGAGGAGTGTACGTGTACGTGATACACAGGGTGTGTTTTATAGGGCAGTATGAAGGACGAGGTCTTGGCTGGATATTGACAGTTGAAGAGTTGACAGTGGTGATAAGATTCTTCAGATTGAAGGATCCTGTGACAGTCTGTAGAGGGAGAAAGATTATATCAGAGACTAGACTGACAGAGCGGTTGTATACGACCCGTGAGGGTCTTTATGATTAGGGGAAATTTTCACGAGGACATGTTTGAGTTTTAACATTGTGGGATATTCGTTGTTGGTGGACAGGCAATAATGAAACAGTTGTGGGTTAATTCTCACATACAATTCCAACAACAACACATACCCCTTTCCCCATCACCAAACTGAAGTCAGAACCAATATCAGTATCAGGGAACTAGCACCACCGCCAGTACAGACATCAGTTGTAACGTCGACAGAAATACAACCACCAGTGGCAACGTCAACATCGATGCAGTCATCCATTATAACGTCATAATTATACAACCATCAATGCTAACGTCAACACCAATACAACCATCAATGCTAACGTCAACGCCAATACAACCGTCAATGGTAACGTCAACGCCAAAACAACCGTCAATGGTTCGTCAACGCCAAAACAACCGTCAATGGTTCGTCAACGCCAATACAACCATCAATGGTATCGTCAACGGCAATACAACCATCAATGCTAACATCAACGCCAATACAACCGTCAATGGTTCGTCAACGCCAAAACAACCGTCAATGGTTCGTCAACGCCAATACAACCGCCAATGGTAACGTCAACGCCAATACAACCGTCAATAGTAACGTCAGCAACATACAACCATAAATATATTCAACGACACGGAACCTTAAAAATTGAGACCAATAAACCAGAACCAAGGTAAACGCGCTTGTAGTTCTGCGGCCAAGCAAATCCATTTAATTTAGATTCCAACGACCTGTAGTACAAAACAGTTAAACAAACTAGAAATAGCACAATATCCGAATACATGATAAAATCATAGTGCAAGAAAGGTTTTGTTGTGTTTAATTAAACTAAACCACAGAAACGGAAAGCTAACGCGGTTAGAGTACTTTCGGGGACAATCTCAGCGCCAAAACTGTTTAACTTTTATACATTAACTTGTACTTAAAGCCAAGGTCTCTTTGAACACGTGGCCCTGTGTGACGGCATATACCATATCGCAATATGCTGAGTAACTGTTTCACATTCCCAACACGGGTTGACAATTAGATCATTCGACACTCCACTAAGCACTGATATGTTATCGTACCCCTGTGTCACTGATACCCTGTCACAGACCTCAGATAGTGATACAGGTGTCCACCGTGTTCGTCAAGACATACCTGGATGGGTCCGCCAGTCGGTAATTACATACCCATTGTTGGGAGGACCTCTACACCAGGGATTACTGTTACTATGAACGTAGGCCTGTATATAAACACTGATAGTGGTTGAATAACTGGAGATAGGAGCACACTTTATAACGTGTTTCTTGATGTACTGTGTGGCTTATTTGTTTCCCATGCCTTCATCCTGAAGGAAATGCTCACTGCAACTGTATATTAACACGCTGGATTAATGCCTCTTTTATGAGGGTTTGTCATGCGAGAACAGACTGCTACGCTGTAAAGCATAGTCTCTGAACACATAGCATGTGTTTGTTCCGAAGAAGCATGCCGTGAAGACTGGCAGTAAATGTACAGAAATGGGAGCTTACACTCAACGTAACAACCGTACGGTCATAATTTGTTGATGTATGGAGTTAATCAATTGCCGGTTACCGTGGGAAGCTGAAGTGGATTTCCGTTTGCTCTTGGTTGTCAAGGAGCAACGCTGGACAAGATACCAAATGGTGGATCGTTTATAACGCTATACAAGATGGTCCCGGACTAAATGGTGGATCGTTTATAACGCTGGACAAGATGGTCCATGACTAAATGGTGGATCGTTTATAACGCTGGACAAGATGGTCCATGACTAAATGGTGGATCGTTTATAACGCTGGACAAGATGATCCAGGACTAAATGGTGGATCGTTTATAACGCTGGACAAGATGGTCCATGACTAAATGGTGGATCGTTTATAACGCTGGTGAAGATGAACGCTGGATCGTTTACACAAGATGGTCCAGGACTAAATGGTGGATCGTTTATAACGCTGGACAAGATGGTCCAGGACTAAACGGTGGATCGTTTATAACGCTGGACAAGATGGTCCAGCTGAATCTTTATAACGCTGGACTGGTCCAGGACTATGTCATACAACTGAACTTTAACAACTGAGCCATTGACATGCACATTAGCTTCCAAGACGCTTTGCATGGGTGATAAGATAAGATTATTCTAACGTCAAGGGAGTTGATAAATTGCCTGCATGACTGCAATGCGACGTTTGGGATTTATGGTTCACATGACGTGGCTTCTTGCAATATAAGTGGTGTTCTTCTTCAGCGCCTATAACCTAAATTTTACATGATCCCTCTGATGTCTCCCCCTTGTGTTTCATGGGATGTTTTGAGTCTCATGTGTTCTTGTGGCGCTGCTGTAAATAGACGTCACTGACGTCAACGGCTGATTTGCACGTTATTAACGCGCGTGTGCTTCCGTCGGCGATTCACTGAAGTTTCAACAGCATCTCCAAGGATATAAACATCCATATTGGCAATTCATTCATTATTCCTAACCATTCAGGTTGGGATGTATTGTTGGTAGCTGCCGTTGGTATCGTACGAGTTTGGTCGGCGATACGTTTCGTTCAATAACAGGAAATTGTGACTTTTTCTTGATAGCCTCTATGAATCCAACTTCATGGACTGCAGTCAATAACTGCCGTGATTCGAGGAAGGACGGAAGAATTAATGTCGGATGAATTAGGATTATGAGTTTAGTTTAGTTTGTATTGGCTGTATCGACTCCAGCGCACCTGTGACTTGAGTGCTAACCTGGGAATTATATTCGACTTTATCTCCACCTGATATGGTGAACCCGTTGATGTCTTTGATCGGCCGTGTTATAATGTTTTAGGATATGCATTGTTCCGGAAAGAATATGAAGGAATATGAATCATGGTGCGGTATTTGGACTTGTGTTCCATTCCTGTGGTTCAAAAGAAGGCAAGGACTTCGGGCTTAATTCAGATATCAAGTATCAAACCCGCTTATGACTTAAGTGTATCGTGATGACAGATGACGGGTGACAGATTTGTGTTAACCTCGAAGATAACTCGCCTCTGACGTGTTCCACAGCGGCTATCAATTAGCCGAACAAAAACGTTATTCCCGTGAATCTTTGCTTCGATTAAAGGATATCGGCCAATCTTAAGGACCCCCGACACAGGCTCCCCCTCACAGAACAATGTCCCTCCTGCCTGACCCCCCGGGGATTATGAATGTGGATGATCTGATTCACATGATCAACTATCAGTTCCCCCAGAAGGTAGGTCAAAGATTAATTATGCGTTTATTGCAGTTATTCCTCATGCCGACCACGACCCTCTACCCCCGGGCGCCGCCGGTACCCCTCGACCTGGGGGATATAAAGAAAACACAAAGGAGGGTGGCTGCCTTGCTGAATGGGGCCACCCCACGGGGTCGAAAAGGGGTCAGCTGTGAGTTGAAATGTGTTGTGTGAGATGCATGCAATTTGTTTTATACTGATGTATGTGGTTGGACAGGACACCAGGTGTCTAGAATAGTGTGGTTGTCATAAAAGGAACAAAAATGTCGGATGGCGAGTACGCTGTCGTGGTCACTGATGGCACGGTGATCAAGATAGTCGTAATTCCCTGTGCAGAGTTGCATCCCTTGCCAAGCAAGGATCCGCTTTTCGTTTCTTCATTGAAACCGCTTATGACCCTTGATCTGTCACAATGGCCGTGTTATAAAAAAGTGTTGACAGCCAACGCCTCGTCGTAATATTACTGAAATACTATAATTCAAAACAACGTAAAACCCAACTCACTAAACTTTCAGTTTGCTTCGGTAGCACGTTAATATTTAGGATGTAGGAAGAAATCGGTACCACAAAATCTGCAACCCAGTCCTCAATTCATTGGCAATAACGTTTACGATTTGACATTTTTCGGAATCAACACAAATTCAAATACACTCTGGATCTACCACGTCAATATTTCCATACAGATATTTCTTACTGATATGTGTTATTTGAATTGTATGACATTGGGATGAAATAGCACTGACATGAAACCATCATAAATCACGCCCTGAACGTGGACATGTAAGACACCATAAAGTATGAAACCTCTTAACGACAACGATTAGATTGCGTCAGGTGCATGTACAGATACTAGAATCGATTTGTTTATTATGTGATGGTGCAAACCACGAGTATATGGCCTCAGACCTCAATTATGTTCCTTCCATGCTAAATGCAGTGACATGCCAGTCCACCATAATTAATATCGGTCGTAGGCTGTTCTCGTGTTGCATGCTGACCAACCTACCACTTGTCGCTTAACCAGCAAAATATTGGCCTGGATCGACCTTCTCAATTTTGTATTACAGAAAATAAGCTCATTCTTATTGAACGACAACAGTCACATTAATAATACTGATTCTACGCCGCATTTAGCACATTGTATCCATGTGGAGAATCGAACCCGGACCTTCAGCGTGACGAGCGAATGCTTTATCAGCTAGGCTACCCCCCACCGCCCCATCACAGACTGAACAGCCTATTTAATCAAGGCACTATATATTCTCATATTTTCCTTCCGGATCATGTAAGGGGGGTAACTGTGGTCTGAGGCCATATGCACGGAATTCATTTACACATCAAGGGTTGATAACTCTTAAGTCGTGATATGACTGAAATATACGTGAAAGCAATACTCTCTCGGCTGAGCTATTTCTAAATACAAAAGGGATATACTGAATATTTGTCTTTAAATCTTTCAGAGCATTATGAATATTTGTTTTTAGTGTCAAACTTCTGCTGTTGGAGACTTGCAACGGAGGTCTCGGGTTTAATACTACGAAAATGATTACTGAATTACACAGACATTCTATGTCTACAGCACACGGCAGGAATAATGGAACGGCAGGAACTATGAACCTCAGGATTTTTCTCTTATTGTTGTGCTTGTAACCATCGTGACATTGTGTTCCTCGCCGCCTCGGCGGTGCCGTGGGATAGACGAATGATTAAACCGTCCGCTAGCCCGAGGTTCGAAGACCAGGGTTCGATTCCCCACATAGATACAATGTGTGAAGCTCAGTTCTGGTGTCCCCCGCCGTGATATTGCTGGAACATTACTACAAGCGGGGTAACACCATACTCACTATCGTGGGTATTTCTCCAGTCTGAAACAAGGACTGGTCAAGAGTTACACGCCTGCAACCTCTTCATATGTGCAACAACCTTGCACGTATACAAACATTTATAAATCAGTGCATAATTAGGTGAAACATGCCGAAATGATAACTTAATTTATTCTGTAATTTCTGATTAAATAGAGATTACAACGAAATCAAATGAACCATATTTATTTTTTCCAGGTTTCTCGCAAGCATATACCTCACAGCTTCTGCTATGTATGCAGTCGACTGGGACCTGATGGCCGATATATGGGTAACCCCTACAGGTATCTCTTTGGAAAGGGGTACCTCCAGCGTTGTGAGCACGTGCCTCCGGCCCCCCACCCAACAATGTTGGGTGCGTCCCCTCCCAAACACACCTGCGTCCGACGACGGAAGGTTCTTTGACACGGCAATCCTCAACTGGGATGCGCTGCCTAGAGAGAAAAAGAACAGGTTTCAACTCCCTCCGATGTTCGAAAACGATAAACAAAAGGCTGAAGAAGATGGCAGGTTTCTTCCTCTTGTAAGCGAAAATACCTTCCTCACGACAAATCCACCAGTGTCCAAAGAAAGGAAGAGGGCTGCTGGAGGGGAGATTAAGCCTTCCGTCCCTGACAAATGACAGGAGATCAATGATTGGTCGGAATGATGGTAGGTCAAGGTCAATGTCTCAAGATGGCGGCGGAGAGTTAAATCGAAAGGGGTCAAATACATTTGGAGATAGTAACCATTACGACAGAAGAGGAAGTGATGCGACGAATAGAAATGGTACTGAGAGGAGGAGGAAGAAGAAACCCAAAGAAGCTTTCTCGAATCCTTCTGGTATCGAAGCCTGGGGAGAGGAAGATGAGATACCCGGGGGAACTGTCAAATACAAACACGGAAAGAAAGAAGACTGGGCCAAATATGCAGGTCAGTCAAGCCCATTTAAGGAATATAAGCGTGAAACTTCCAACTCCAGAGAACTTTCTTTTGAGTTTCATCGAAGAGGAACATTCAGTCTCTCCCCACCAGATCCACACTCCATATCAAGGGAGACCACTCTGACGACTCCGGACTCATTTATATTTTCAAGGGTAGATTCAGCGAATTGGTGCGAGTGTCCCGATGTCGACACTGCGTTTCTAAGGTGCAAGGAGTGTTTCCAAACGGGAAGACATGAAAAATGGTGTGTGTCTAAAATGGGACTGTGTCCCCAGTGTGGCAAACCTGTCAGACGGAAGCATTCCCGTGGTCATCTAGATCGACAACGGACCAACCCGCCTTCACGAACCCCAGATAAAACAGCCACGGATCTAACCAGTGCTTCCCACAACAGACGAGAGTGTTCGAGCAAAAGGACGGAAGGCGATCACAAAGTCCGATTCAACGAACAGAACTCTTTTGTGAAGGAGAGTAAACAAGGTCGAGGTGGAATTCTTAAGCACGACACAGACCAGACGCTGAGTTACAGAGAGAAAATAGAAATATCTATGAAAAAGAAACAGAGGAATAAACATAATCCTGCATTGCCGAAAATCGACCCAAATGTCCACAAACAGGCATACATGTTGGCACTCGCTGACGCCAGGATAAGGAAAATGAAAAAGGACCCTTTTGCGTTTGAGAACTCGAACAAACGGTCGTATTTTTCATATTTTCCTTTATACAAACACCCAGGGTACAAACCACCACAAAACCTACAACTGGGTATTCGGAAAGAAGATGAGTCGAAAAAAGTGAAAATAAAAAAGGGCATGAAACACATCCTTGGCGACATCCAGTTGTCGGACTACTACCCACCAGCACGCGGCAAGGGGGTAAAGGTGGAGGGGGTAGAGGATGGGGGGATTATCAATGATGGGGATACAGAGAGCACCAGACAACCGTAGTGCCATGCATGTATGACGTGTCACAGTGACCAACAGCTTAGAAGACATCCTAGCTTCCATTGCCTCACATTTGCTGGTAACTAGAATTGCGTGATTGTGATATCTAGTATGTCGTTCGTTACAGAATTACTTCTCAAGTTAGACGCTGAACCTTTAAGACAAGCTGTGGTTGTGCTTTGAGATAAGACTTATAGGAAGCACCTGATCGAAAAATGTTTGATCTATATCGTGTTTAGGACTTGTCTCCTTGATTTGAAGGTTAAAAGAGAATTTGAAGTAACGTGAACACGCAAACAAGGTTAAGACATGTGTCACTGGTAACCAGTGAACAGGTTGATTTGAAAATAAATGTTGTTTTGAAACTATTACAGCTCATTAGCAAAATCAACTGTGAAGTTACTAAAATTGGGCAACATGGTCCATCGTTGTCCCCGATAGGTACCACTTGCGGAGTCATTTGGGGTATAGTTAAAGCCTAGCTATCGATCGGCCAACCAGCTGTGTATTGTGCTTGGATTTGTGTCGTGGCGTTTCGGACGAATTCAAAACCATGTCATAGCGTATTATTTCAGAGTGGAAGGGAAATCCGAATTTAGGCAAACAAAACTCATTAAAGTTTTGTGAAACCCACAGAAAAATTGTGGTACTGGCAAACCAATGGTTTGGGGAATAATAAAAGATTGGTGGCTTGTAGAATTCTCCACAGAAACTGAAATATTATCGAAAGTAAGTTTAGAAAGATTACAAGTTACTGTAGGATCATGACAGTTAAACATGTTTCTTAGCATGCTGTGTAGCTCTACACATTTCCTATAATTTGCCGGTGTTCTTTCCGATTTTTCCAAAAATATGTTTTTTGGAATTATTATTTTCACAGTACATATCCTTGTTTTCTTGTATGTTTGTTGTTTTGTTCTATTGTGTGTATTCTGGTGGTTGCATTGAAACATTTTTACACAACGAAACCTTTACGTTTTAAACTGAAGCCTAACGTTTTGGTGGTTTGGTCATTTAACCACACTTGATGTATTCTCTCTGTTATGACCTGTGAAGGTCCGGGTTAGAATATTGATCCTCAGTAACCCATGCTTGTTGTAAGAGGTGACTAACGGGATCGGGTGGTCAGGCTCGCTGAGTTGGTTGACACATGTCATCTGTTCCCAATTGCGCAGATCGATGCTGATGCTGTTGATCACTGGATTGTCTGGTCCAGACTCGATTCTTTACAGAACGCCTCCATATAGCTGGAATATAGCTGAGTGCGGCGTAAAACTAAACTCACTCACTTATCCCCTGTTATGTGATATTACTATATACGCCATTCCTGGCCCACTCGTTGTCATTGTTCTGTTACAAAGGAATATTTCGTATTTTAGGAGCGCTTCGATCATCTGCTCGCCGACCTTTAAGTCGACCCCATTGTGTGATGCTAGTCTTCGTGATGCGTCGTGTATTAAAGGTGAGGTGAGGTGAGGTGAAATTGGGTTTAACGTCGTGCTTGAGAATATTTCGCTCATATGACGACGTGCATGCGAGTGTATGTGTATGTGTGGCTGCTTGTACTAGCCCAGACAAGCTGGTTTTATAGTGCCAGCTCACTGAGATACCATGCCGCAGTGAAGCATGAATACCCCATTCAGACACATTATACTGACTCCGAGCCGACCAGTCCTTGTACCCATCAATGCCGAGCGCCAGGCAGGGACCAACAAGTACCATATTTAAACGTCTTTTGGTATGACGCGGTCGGGGATCGAACCCGCGACCTTCCGCTATCCGGGCGGACGCTCTAACCACCACACCACGGAGGCGGTCGTGTATTAAAGGTATCACTCATCAGCCGTTTATCGTTCAAAGTTACGTGTTCTTTATTTCTGGAATCTATGGACATTGGCCAATGTTGTAACACAGCGCAAATGGGATACGATGACATGCATCAACCATGTAATCGAGCCTGACCCGATCACGTTAATCGCCTCTTACGACAAGTGTGGGTTGCAGAAGTCGGAATTTCTCTGGTTGTAAATGAGATTGAGATTGACAATCGGTGTTCATAATCTAGAAGGTAGTTCATTCATGTTTTCTTCTTTGTAAAGAAAGTAGAAACGTACATAGACTTATTGGCACCAGCATACCAGATAAACATTTCATGGCGTCTACCATGGCCCGGAATCGTACAAACAAAGGATGGCATCTTCACAAGTAGAAAATACCAGTGACCCCCTGTTAGTGGCGTGGTGCTCATTCTGTCAACCACTGGTTCATATCATCAAAGCTCGACAAAACAGATCAGTGAGAACACAATTACGATCTCGCGAGGAATAGACAAGACATGAGGAGTGTTTCACAAGTTTATTAGCTGAGAAAATGATTTATGATTGAATCGTATTTTCTTTATGTTGTCACAAAACACAAACGTACATTCACATACTAACTTTCGCCCGTAGGCTTAATGCTACAGTTGGCTAGGACCCAGTTCCACAAAGCGATCGTAGTGCTACGACTGTTTAAGTCCATGTTAAGGTATGGGAGTAACAATCCGATTTGTCGAACGGGGCCCATATGGCCAGTATACGGTAAACAGGAGCGTGATCGTAGACACAATACCACGTGATGCCACATAACGTCAACTTCCGGGTTTACGACATCACGCGATGTCGTGAACTTAGATCAGCTAGGAAGACACCATGTCTAGAATTTCATCCAGCATGTTCCTTTGCTAAACCAGCTATCGCTGTCGGACTTGCACTCGAGCCCCTTTCCTTCACAGCAGCCTGTCCAGTACCCGCATTCTTCCCCAAAGTCGGCACACTCTTCACTATTCTTGTTTGACCGCTTCATAGCACGGGCAATGATATCAGACCTGAAAGACAATTAATGTCGTACAATGAATACAATTATCTTCTTGTTCCCATCAACTGTGACCGGGCGCCATATTTTTTGACAAACGCAAGTGATATGAGAGATGGAATGATTGGTTAGTAGGTTGTTTAACGCCTCACTCAGCAATGTGGCGGCGGTCTGTAAATAATCAAGTTTGGACAAACAATCCAGTGATCAGCATCATGAGCATCGATCTACTCAATTGGGATACGATGACGTGTCAACCAAGTCAGCGAGCCTGAGCACCCGATCCCGTTGGTCGCCTTTCACGACAAGGGCATGGAATGATTAGACGAAAGGAGGGACATAGGAAGGACATAAAACCAACTGACTGCCCTACCATCGAGCCACGAAATTCCAGCTCGTAGTCCGGCTAGTGAGTGAGTGAGTGAGGAGTTTAGTTTTACGCCGTACTCATCCAGTGATCGAGTCTGACCAGACAATCCAGTGATCAACAGCATCGATCTGCGCAATTGGGAACCGATGACGTGTCAAACAAGTCAGCGAGCCTGACCACCCGATCACGTTAGTCGCCTCTTACGACAAGCATAGTCCCCTTTTGTGGCAAGCATGGGTTGCTGAAGACCTATTCTATCCCGGATCTTCATGGGTCTAGTCCGGCTAGGGTGGAGACGGGAGGTTTATATGTTTTAATTAAGAATAACTTTCTCTTGACACGTAATAGGCAGATGGTGAATAATCAGCTTTGGAATACACACCTGATGCATTTTGTATACGTCCATGAGTTCTGAATGCATTAAACACTTAATAATATTAGGGGTCCAATGCTTGTTGTTTCCTTGTCTAATTTTTATTGCACGGGGATGAAATATGGACTGGTCCGATCACGTGTCCAGTGCTGGTGATCGAGCATGTTGCAGGGTCATAACCAGCCTGTTACAGTGAGTGAGTGAGTTTCAGTTTTACGACGGTTTAAGCAATATTCCAACAATATAACGACAGGGGACACCAGATATGTGGTCCACAAATTGTACCTATGTGGGAAATCCAACCCGGGTCTTCGGCGTGACGAACAAACGCTTAAACCACAAGACTACCCCACCACGCCAACCTGTTACAGACTTGGAGACATACACATGCCTGGGCACTTCCAGGTTTAACGGGGCGCTGGGGTAGCCTAGTGGTTAAAGCGTTCGCTCGTCACGCCGAAGGCCCGGGTTCGATTCCCCACATGGGTACAATTTGGGAAGCCCATTTCTGGTGTCCCCCGCCGTGATTTTGCGGGAATATTGCTAAAAACGGCGTAAAACCATACTCAGTCAGTCCAGGTATAACTGGCTGGGGATTTTACTGCTTCTCCATGTGTAAAGGCCACCCATTGCCCAACTTCGCCCTTAAAAGGTAGTATTTAGGACAAGGCTGGCCAGAGTTACTTCCCTTAGAGATGCTAAAAGGAAATTCGATTCCCGATTCACCCTGATTATGACAGTTTGGAAGAGCCATATTCGGATCGTGGATTTCATCCTGGAAGTCTTGTTTAAACACACACACACACACACACACACACACACACACACACACACACACACACACACACACACACACACACACACACACACACACACACACACACACACACACACACACACACACACACACACACACACACACACACACACACACACACACACACACACACACACACACACACACACACACACACACACACACACACACACACACACACTGATAGCGGCTAGGCGCCAACTGCTACCGTAACCACCTACTCACACTGATCTGGCCTGTCGGGACACCTCTGCTGCAGCAGCTCGATGGTGGGCGGACTCGGACTCTTCAAAGGAAAACAAAAACACTCACAATATTGCAATAACGTAACCTGTTTTAGATTGTAACAGGTCTCGTTCTGTCCACTTCGTTCTTTCATTTATCCGTGAAAACGTACGGCCTATCGAACACCAGACAATAGGGGTGTGTGTGTTAGGGTGTGTTTTTTGGTTTTTTGTTTGTTTGGTGTGTGTGTTTGTTTTTGTTTTGTTTTGGGTTTTTTGGGTGTTGGTGGGGGTATTTTGGTGGGGGTGGGTGTTGTGTTTGATTTGTTTTGTTTTGTTTTCATTTCTTTTCTTTTTTTCGTTTTTCTCTTAGTATTTATTAACCAGCTAACACGACTTACTGCTGCGGCTAATTGGCCGTGTGTACTTGCGATTTGCGATGCTTTTTCAACTGATTGGAAGTAAATGAATCATGCTTACGTTGTAATTCAAACTACTTTAAGACTGAATGATTTGTTTTAACCGTAGTTTTATAACTACTAATATGTATTGTTCTGAAGAGTGTATTTGAAGAATTGGTGTATATAATGCTTCGATGCCAAACGGAAATATGCAGTTTTTGAGATACATTCTACAGCGACTTAAATACGACCTGTTTCGTTAAACAGTAAATAATTGTAATTGTCAAATATTATGCACTCGGAGTCATACGATGTGTGTATATTATCATA